AGTATGAGGATTTAATTGACTTTTTCATGAAAGTACGAGGACCAAATCGATAGTTTTGACAAAATTTGTTGGCACACCATCATCCCATTACCAAATGTTATTGATACTTATTAATACTCTTTTATCATTTACGGGATAATATAATTTTACGAAAAATTATTTACTTGAGCTAAAGAATAACAAGTAGGGCGGGGAATTTTTTCTTACCAATTACCATTAGTACTTCTCTACATACCATATCGGCATATCCTACTCAAGGTGTTCCCGACTTCCTACAATTCAAATCACCCGGTCAAATCTTTAGATGATTAAGCTATATGGGTATATATGACATGTTAGTTTCCCTCATTCCACTAGTGGAAACACCATAGCATATATATTTATTGGTTCCTAAACTTAATTAACTATGCTTCTAAAGTACATATTGGTTTCTGAACTATATCATTAACTTTCAAGAGGTGTTCAATTCCAATGTTTATCTTGGAATTTGAATCTATTGTAATGTAGCACATCGCCTTTCTTCCTTCACCAATTCATTAGTATTTTATTTGAATATAAATGCATTTTGCTTTACTAATTTCACAAGTCATAGATAAAAAAAAATGTGCATTCTCCTATAAATGGCCTATAATTTAATATGAAATTTTATGTGTTCTTAGGTTACGACAGACATACTTAGGTTCCTAAGAGTTCAATAGGTTCCTTTGTGATCATCGATTGAAATGATAGGCATATCCTGATGTTTTTGTAGATGCATGTTAATTTCCCAAGACAATGAGGTCATTGGAACTCTATGGTCATTGAAGAATGATCTTGATAGTACGTGAACCATATTTGATGTTATTACCCTTTGGGTATGTTTGGCAAATGGCTTATCAGCCAGCTTTTAGCTTGTTTGACCCATTTCAACTGTTTGATTGGTCAAAGAAGCTAATAATGATGTTTGGTAAATGGCTTTTAAAATTAGCTTGTTGAGTTTGAAAAGCTGAAAAAATGGATTGTTGAAGAAGCTAAGGGGAGCAGCTTCTTCATTTGGCTGGTTCAATTTACACTCTATCAGCCATTTTGAAACAACCAATTTTACCAAACAGTTATCTATAACCAGCTAACATAACCAGCTGGTCAAAACAGCTAACACAACCAGCTGTTAATTAGGAAACAGCTGACACAACCAGCTAACAACAACAGCTAACAGCCATTTGCCAAACATACCCAAAGTTGAATCAATATAAGGATGAAAACCATCAGACAACGATACCATACAAGTTCTTCATCTTTTAGATTTTGGAAAAAGGGTCAGATACGCCCTCGAACTTACAAAAAAAAATCAAATAAACCCTTATATAAGAGGCTCTGTCCTGCTGTCGCCATTTGGTGCGGTTCCCAGTAGAATTTTTTGATGAATTTTTTTGAACATCTTATTCATTAAGTCTAGTTTACTAATGCCAAATTTCAACTAAAATTTCAATCGGGAAGACATTCAAATGAATACTTGAATAAGAATTTTGTTGATCCTGCTATTTATGTTGAAGGCATCGACGAATATATATATATATATATATATATATATATATATATATATATATATATATATATATATATATATATATATATATATATATATATAGGGAACTCTTCCGGTAAGGTATACCTTACCGGAGCCGCCGTGCGGCCTCCACCTTTTGAGGGCCTTCCCTGTGGAATTTTTCTATGAAATTTTTTGAGCATGTTCTTCATCAAGTCTAGTACATCCATACCAAATTTCAGCAAAAAATTCAATCGGTAAGGCAGTCAAATGATTTTTGGAAGATAACTGCACCCTTTATATACATATAAAACGCAATTATCTTCCAAAAATCGTTTGACTGCCTTCCCGATTGATTTTTTTGATGAAATTTGGTATGGATGTACTAGACTTGATGAAGAACATGCTCAAAAAATTTCATCGAAAAATTCCACCGGGAAGGCCCTCAAACCGTGTAGGCCGCACGGCACCTCCGGTAAGGTATACCTTACCGGAAGTTTTTCCTATATATATTGTATATTCCTTTTCTTGAATCAATCAGGCATGAAGCTCTCAAGCATAGTCGAAAATATATTTTTTAGTCCAAAATATATTAAATACTATCGTATATCTTAGAGAAAAGTACGAAAAATATATTTGTGGTTGGGTCCGTTTCCAGATAGGATCATGTGTTCATTCTTTATCAAAATGGTTCATGTGTTTGAATTCTGTTATCAAAAGAAGGTCACGCCGTTAAAAACATCTGAAAAAGACCGTTAAAATTAACTCCAATTTTCAAAAGTGTCCGAAAAATACCGGAAGGTGCGCCTCAATAAGACGACTACTAGGCCATCTTTCTTTTTTTGTTTTCAGCCACGCTTGTCACCGTAAAGTTCACCGAAAAAGTGATATTAGCGAAATCGTTTTAATAAAATAATTCAAACAGATCTTAAAAATCCAAAGACGAAAGTGATTTAGAGGTTATCTTTAACGAGGTGCACCTTTCGATATGTTTCTTTTAATTTTCCAGGCACTTTTGAAAGTCATAGTTACTTTTACGGTCACGTTTTTAACTGTGTGACTCTCTTGTGATAACAGAATTCAAACAAATGAATCACTTTGATAAAGAATGAAACACATAACTCTATCTTATTTTTGAACCAATCATATATGAAGCTTTCTATCATAATTTGTATTTCAGTATATATAGATTATTCACTTTATTGTTTAACTATTTGATGCCAATCAATAAGAGTCAACGGTAGGGTTTAAAAAGTTTCGTCATATTTTACGTCCTCCATTTTATAATGCAATTAGAGCATCTTTAATGGGCCTTTCTATTCTTAAGAGTGCACTGCCACGTAAATAAAAATTGAGTGGAAGTAAAAAAAGGTCTCCAACGGAACAACGTATTTGCCCTGTGCGGCTGAGCTGGAACGGGAAAAAACCCACGCCTTCTACCTCTCCATGGATTTTCAGCAAGGCTATCTCACACTCTGACTCAGCATTCAACAAGTAATTAATTTCTCGTTTCCTTCACATCTGCTTGAAACTCCTCCGGTCTTTGAAGTATTTTTCTGATCTTGTTCGTTTGATTGAAGGGCCGGTGGGCTGTACGAGCGGTTCCGCTCGTACAGCTATGGCGGACTGTAGATGGGCATATGTGCTTCCAGCAGAACTAGGAGGTGGGTTGTCGTTTCCTGGAAGAAGAGGCGGTCAAAATCTAAGGATGACAGTGGCTGGAGCATTCAACCTACTACGACAAACATATTTCCAAAACCCACAAATGGGTTTGAAATCATTTACACCCACTTCCATAATATTATTAATTATAACTGTATATACTTCACAAATTCTTCCATTGATTATAAACATATAATTAATAAAATGTTTCCACAGTACACCAAAAGGCAAAACTACAACAAATTTATCATATTACGGGCTATACAAGTGTGAATCATCATAAGCTAGCCAACTTACACTCTTCTAGGACTGCTCAGGCGGTGGCACTATCTTAAAGTTCTGGACTATACACTCTACTTGATGAAACCTTTGATAGCTTTAATTACTTCTAGGCTAACTGCAATCCTCAGTGGCACGATCTGTTTCTCAAAGTAAATCTATGGAAAAGAAAGCTAAAGGAAGAGTTGTATGATCTATGATGTACAATAGGCAACGAATTAGTCTAAAAGTGTTCTAAGTGCGGCTCTTTTTTACGCACTATACCATTGGAGCGTAAAAATTCATTAATAACCGTTCACGTCCACATCAGCTTCACGGGCTATGAATAGCGGTGACATGTCCATTTTTTAGAAGATACAATCCACAATCTCATTAAAGATGCTCTTATATGCTGCGATCTAAAAAGTAACTTATCTGAATTGAAATTATATGTGATGTTAATGACAAATTGAAGAACAAGAATCAAACTTTTTCAGAGTTGTATAAAAATTTATACTCTATCGGTCCATTCAAGCATTGCCATTTTTTAGATCCCCAAATTTTTGTGATTAAAGCTTGGATATTGTTTGTTTGTTGTTTGAATTTTTTTTACATAATTAAGTTAAACTTTGACCAATGATATATTTTATCAAAAAGACATTCATAAATGTATAAAATTATACGGAGTACTGATTTAAATCTTTTTCCAAAGTTTACTACTATTGACTTGAAAAGTCAAAAATTTAAGGGTCTGTTTGCAACAGCTTTTGCTTTAAAAACAATGTTTTTTTTAATGAAATGGGGAGAAGTGATTAAATAAAAGTTGATAATGTTTGAGAAAAAAGTGATTTTGAAAAGTAAAAGTTAGTAATATTTGGTAAAATAAGTGTTTTTTGTGTAATAGAAAAAGCAAACCAACCCTTAAGGACATAGACAATAATTTTTAACTACATCTAAGTTGCTCACGAACAAGTTATATGAATCAGTCTTTAATACCATTTTATATTTTTTAACAAGTCTTTAATTGTAAATTGCATCCCGTGCAACGCACGGATGAGAATTCTAGTATAGTCTAATGTCCCGTCATTCTTTAATATGAAGTATTTGACAAATGGGATACCTATTGATAAGAGTATGTTTTGGAGTTGACTTTTGAGAGAGGGAAAGACATGTAAGAGCTGTTGGTCCTCCTATTTATGTTTGAGATTTAAAAATGTGATGGAATGATTTTGGAAGGTTTTTGTGGCCCTCCAAACTTCTCAAATGCTCAATTTTTAATCAAACACACACAAATCACTCACCTTACCCCGCTCCCTTAAGTTTATACGAAGTATTTTCCATTATATTAGATGAACTTTAAGAAGAGTATAATAGAGTAAGATATCATGAAATCAAATCCATTCAAAATTTCTCCACAAAATTTCAATAATAAAGTTGAAACCGCTAATTTCGCCAGGCCGGCCCATTGAAGGTGCACACAACCCATTCTAACAGGGCCCAATACTTTGGAAGGCCAAAAAGAAGAAAATTACTAGTAGTAGTACTCAGCCCAGGTCCGAAACTTTGAAGAAAAAAACAGAACGAAGAGTCAGTCGACAACCGCCGCCGCCAGCCAGCCAGGGCCAAGCTCCATCCTTCCACCACCGCACCATTCTCCACAGAATCACAGCTCTTTGGTCTTTTATTAACTCTCTGAATGGAAGTTCGAAGCATGAATTTTAGACTGTCTCCCCCGTTAGCCACACAAAACCCAAAAGTGGCATTCTTTCAGGCTCCCTCATCTGCTTCTACTCATGCAATTATTCAATCTGCAAAGTGGGTCTCTCTCAAAACCAAATCTTCCCTCGTTTTGCCTATTTCATTGGCCAAGAAAGGTTTTCGTACAAGTTGCATCAAAGCAGCAGAAAGCGATCCTCCACATAGTTGTGTGAATGAATCCAATGCAGAAGCCAGGAGGAAGAAGAACTTGGCTGTTTTTGTTTCCGGTGGAGGTTCAAATTTCAGGGCAATTCAAGAGGCGGCTCTGCAAGGGACTGTTAACGGGGATGTGGTTATTTTGGTCACCAATAAACTTGGTACTTCCTATTCCACAAATCATGAATTTATATTGATAATTATTTGATACCACAGTTTGGATTAAAATGTTGATATGATGATGAGTTTTAGTTTTCTGTACATTAAGATGCGTTCTGCAGTTTGTATGCCTGTGGTGATTCTTTTTAAGGAATATGCTTTAATCTTCCAAAGATCATAACTTTGTTAAAGAAACGTTTTAAAGGGTCTTTTGTATCCAAATGCTGTGCATATTTGACTGTTGTGTTTTTATGTTTTCTCTTATCATTATCATTTTTTGAAATTCTGCAATTTATTATTTTGACCAAGTGCGCTTCTTGAACCGTGTGTAGCCTTTTGTAGATTTAGAGTATTCAAGTTTACTCCTTGCATATAATATGCAGATTGTGGGGGTGCCAACTTTGCCAGAGATAGAGGAATACCTGTTATTCTCTTCCCGAAACCAAATAATACAGAAAATGGGATGTCTGCAGGAGATCTTGTAGGCTCTCTAAGGTATAGTTAATTTTCCTTTTCCCGAAAGCATATCTTTTGTAATAGAAGGAACACATTTGAATCTTCTTTGTGTCAGTTTCTTCACTGGATGTTATTAATTTTATGTTCTAACATAAATTCCTTGTCTTTATGAGATGTGAAGAGAATACAAAGTTGACTTCATTCTATTAGCCGGATACCTAAAGCTCATACCTTCTGAGTTGATTCAAGCTTATCCAAGATCAATGTTGAATATTCACCCTTCACTTCTCCCAGCTTTTGGAGGCAAAGGTTACTATGGGATGAAGGTGCACAAAGCAGTGATTGCTTCTGGAGCTAGGTAAATCTCATTACCGCACTATTAATGTTATTTTCCGTGCCAATGAACGAATACAGCTGAAGAAATAGACATATTTATATCACATGACCATTATGCTATCGATAGTAGATGAGAAAGTAGTAATGCCCTATGTTTGGCAGCAAAGAAATAGATTAGAAAACATCAAAACAATAGAGGAGAATTAAGTAGAAGACACAGCTTCCAATTCATTTCTGAGGGTTGGTAGGGGTTAAATAGTAATGAAATGACCCAGAACCTGATTGGCTGATTCTCCTCATCCCTCCCACTGAGGACATACGAAGGGAGGTGCACTGAATTTACCATTTTATCCTTGTTTCTTATGATATTGTAAAGATATAAGTGTATTTCCAGTATAAGAAACCACTTCACATTCAATATGTCCTCTCTATTTCTCTCTTACTCTAGAACCAAACAAATTTTAAGTAAGGAAATAAGACTTTTTATTTAGGGATAAAGACGGAGGTACCTTCATCTAAAGAAAGTCATGTTTGAGATACTGAATCAATATTAGAAACCTGACTATTTTTGGGAAGGAACAAGTGGCATGTCATACAGGTTTCATATGACATGTCATATGGGTTTCATATGTGTAGAGTCTTCTATTGCCGTGACTACATACCATTATACCCGTCCTCCTTCTGCCCTGCACTTATCTCCAATTCACATCTTCAGTACATGCCCCCTTGTTCTATTAGCATCTGTTCAATTGCATTGGCTCATTTGCAGGTATTCTGGCCCCACAATCCATTATGTTGATGAAGAGTATGACACAGGGCGTATTCTTGCTCAGAGGGTTGTACCTGTGCTTGCTAACGACTCAGCTGATGAGCTGGCAGAAAGGGTTCTGAATGAGGTCAGAAATTTTTTAAGTTTCATGTTGCTCTGAGTTTTTCTGGTATTGGTGGCATGAAATTATCTCACCAATTAAATTTCTAAAACCCATTACGCAGTAATATCTAAAATTATCTAACATGAATGAAGTACTAAAGAAGAATATTGAGATGCAATGCCAAACCATAAATCTAGGATTTTTCCATCACTTGCATGGGATTTGTTATTTGTTTTTATTTTCTATATATGCAGTGGAGTAACATTTGCACTTTCTTTATCAGGAGCATAAATTATATGTAGAAGTAGTGGCTGCTCTATGTGAAGGAAGAATAGTTTGGCGGGGTGATGGTGTCCCTCTCATCCAGAGTGAAGAAAACCCCAACCAGTATCTGTAAATAGAAAGCTAATCCAAGGAGAGAATAACCATAAATTGCGTTACTATTCATTTTACTTTTAGGGGAGCAGGCTCATACCAACTTCGTCCCACAAAGAACAGTAACATTTGATTTTTTGTTGTTGCCAAAGAGGGTGTGACCGTTAAATTTTGTTTAAAATCGATTCATATTAGTTGACCCCAAAGTCTATTGGGAATAAGGCTTGAATGTTGTTGTTGTTGCATTATGCACAGAAGATTGCACAGAAGGATATGGACATGGAGACAGGCTCACCAAAAAACGTAGGGGGGGGGGGGCTGCAAAGCCCGCCTGTCAGGCTTTTAGAGGACGTGTCGAGAAGTGCACAGGGATGGAAGATTACAAATTTCATCATCCGGATCTTTATTTTTGCTGCTTTATTTTTATGTTTCAGAACTCAGTTGTTTGTTGTTTCTTTACTTTTATTTACAATAAGGGAGATGGGGTCGTGGGTTGTTGGTTTATGAGTAGGTTTTATTGTGATGGAGGCAATTAGGCTGTCACAGCCGCTAATAGCCTCTTAGCTCTCACCGTTTCAGTGATTAGTCTCGCTCTTTTTGGGGTGGACTATTCAATGCCTGGACATGACGTGAGGGGGTCGATGGGCTTTTGGCATTGTGGGTCTACTGAGAGTTGTTGGTTTGGGGATTTGATTGATGTAATGGCTCGTTTGGTTCTAATACCATATTAGATTAAATTAGATCATTGATAGTTTTAAAATGTACTTTCTCCAGTCCTAAATAAACTTCACACTTTTCTTTTTGGTCACGTCAAAATAAACTTTACACTTTTACATTTCATAACTTTTAATATAAATTAAACATATGTCCTTGCTTTGTTATCTACTCCCATTTTCATAACTTCTACACTTTAATTTACACCCATTTTCTCTCTCTCATTATACATAATCCACTTTTTATAAAGTGTGATGGGAAAATCAATATAAAAAGTTCTCTTAAATCTAACTAGGGGCGTATCTAGAGGAGGGTCAACCCTGGCATGAACCTAGTTCAAATTTAAAAAATGTATGTATTTATAATTTAAAAAATTTCATGTAAATTTTTCTTCAAAAATATTCTTTATACCGACCCGATCCTTTGGATCCGCCCTGAACCAGGTCGTACATAAAACTGATATCTACCCTAAACTTTCACAAGTTTTAATCAATTCATGTCTAATCATAATCATCATCATCATCATATACCTAAAAGCACTACACTAGAGAGAGAAAATTCTCCCGCCTAACCACTCTCGCTGAAATGTAATTCGACTTTTCGCAAAAAAAAAAAAAAAAAAAATACGCAGCCCGCGTCCTCTTCCGCACCAGACTCACCTTCAGAGCTACTTCTCTAAATGCTCACACCAAGTCATCGAAGAGCACCTTCGAGAAGCCCTTTTTGCATCTATCATCAACGCTAAAACATGAAACACGTTTTTCTCTGAAAATATCTCGCCTAGCCGCACGGTCACACCTCCTTGGCTTCTTCGTTTGTAGAAACTTACCTTCCTTCTCCAGCCGCACATCACTTTTATTTAGAAACATAAAGTAATGCTTCAACTTTACTTTATGACTACATTTTTCACCCGTGCGTTGCACGGGATGCAGTTACTGAGCATTAAATTATTTGAAAATATAAATAAATTTTGTGATGAAAATAAAGCAACACATTTATTGTTTTTAACAAAAGTAAATAAACATAAAACCTACAAATTCTTATATACCTCATTGTAAACAACATTTAAAGTCTTTTTGATTGCTTTGCCGTCATCGTCACATATAATAAAATTCAACTTAGACATGTAAGAACTGACTGATCTAAACATGTTAAATCTCACAGAACACATTCAGATCAAGACTTTAATTAGCGGAAGCAAAATATTGAATCACATACCTCCAGCCATTTCCTTGAAAACATAGCCCACTGCCCTACTTGTTTTGCTCTTCCAAGCACTTCTCTTCACTCAATTTGATGGTGTGTATACTGATAGTGAGGAGCAGACTCAGGGATGAAAACAAGAGCCAAAGTGCCGCTGTTATTTATCGAGTTCTTCCCATCAAAGAACTCCAACGTGCGGCCGAATAATAGGGAGAAGTTGTCGATCTTCTCTCGGCTTATTTTTGGGTGGGAATAATGGGTAATCCTTATCTAATAAATGGACCATTTCAGAAACGTTTTTCCCCTTAAATAAATGTTATTTATTTGCTGAATAATGAATATTTAAGATATGTTAAATATTCCGTAACTGATGGAAAAACCCAACATTCTCCCACTTGGTCCATTTAACCCATTATCAAACCTTATAAGAGATAAAACATATGAATCATGGAGACAAGTCCTTTGCTATAAAGTATTATCATCCATGTATTACAATATATTAAATCTCCTAAACATATGCTCTTGACTTAATGAATAAACCACATGTTTATTACAAGCCCAAATAAAATAGTATTTCTCAAAACAATCATTAATGTGCACAATAAGTTTGAGAATACACCAAACTGAATAAGAGTTCCATAATAAATAAACTTATGAAAATCACATCATGGTACCAAGTCCCATGTGAACTACAAGATCCTGAAATTTCTTTGGTGACATGCCTTTAGTTAAAGGATCAGTTATCATTAACTCAGTGCTAATGTGTTCAATGACCACCTTCTGGTCTTTGACACGTTCCCTTATGGATAAATATTTAGTGTCGATGTGCTTGCTTCGACTTCCACTCTTATTGTTATTAGCCATGAAAACAGCAGCTGAGTTATCACAATATATCTTTAATGGCCTAGAAATAGAGTCCACAACTCTAAGCCCAGATATGAAACTCTTCAACCACACACCATGCGATGTAGCCTCAAAACAAGAAACGAACTCAGCTTCCATAGTGGAAGTAGCTATTAAAGTTTGCTTTGCACTTCTCCAAGACACAGCTCCACCGGCTAGCAAAAATATATAACCAGAAGTTGATTTTCGGGTATCAATGCAGCCAGCGTAGTCTGAATCGGAGTAGCCCACTACTTCCAACTTCTCACTTCGTTTGTACATGAGCATGAAATCCTTTGTTCCTTGGAGATATCTCATCACTTTCTTTGCAGCTCTCCAACGCTCAACCCCTGGATTAATCTGATATCTTCCCAAAACCCCAACAGCATACGCAATGTCGGATCTAGTGCAGATTTGAGCATACATTAGGCTTCCTACGGCTGAAGCATATGGGACATTCTTCATTTGTTCCCGCTCAAAATCATTCTTGGGGCATTGACTTAAATCCAATTTATCTCCCTTTACAATGGGAGCCACGCTAGGTGAACATTGCTTCATGTTAAATCTCTCTAAAACTTTGTGTATGATATAGGATTCTTGAGACAAGCCTAAAATGCCTCTAGATCTTTCTCTATGGATCTTTATGCCAATGACAAAAGATACCTCTCCCATATCCTTCATATCAATTTTTTCGAGAGAAAACTTTTCACCTCATGCATCATACCAACATCATTAGTTGCAAGCAAAATATCATCCACGTATAACACAAGAAAACAGATTTTACTCCCACTAGTCTTGAGGTATATACATTGATCCATGATATTTTCCTTAAAACCAAATGAAGACATGAAGTAATAACCTCATTAAACTTAAAATACCACTGGCGGGAGGCCTGTTTCAAACCGTATATGGATTTATTTAGCTTGCAAACTAAGTGCTCACCTTCACTAGAGGAAAATCCTTCTGGTTGTTTCATATAAACATCTTCCTCTAGATCACCATTGAGGAAAGCCGTTTTCACATCCATTTGATGTAGCTCAAGGTCAAAATGAGCCACTAATGCCATGATGATCCTAAGAGAGTCCTTTTTAGATACTGGAGAAAAGGTTTCCTTATAATCAATTCCCTCTCTTTGAGTGAACCATTTGACTACAAGTCTCGCTTTATATCTCTCAATGTTGCCTTGTGAGTCTCTCTTGGTTTTAAACACCCACTTACACCCGATGGCTTTTACACCACTTGGCAACTCAACGAGATTCCAGACTTTATTAAATGCCATAGAATTCATCTCATCTTTCATAGCATCAATCCATAAGTTTGATTCCTTAGAACTCATGGCTTGTGAAAACGTTTCGGGGTCATTTTCAGCTCCTATATCACAGTCTGATTCTTGTAGATACACTACATAATCACTAGGTATTGCTGGTCTTTTGACTCTATTAGATCTTCTTAATGTTGCTTCATCATCTTGTTCAACAACGGGCTATTCAACCAGTTGTTCACCAGATTGTTCACCATTGTTTTGTTGGACTTCAACAATGGTATGATCTATTGAGTCATTTCCAGCTTCATGTGGACTCTCATTTATTGGTTGTGTAGCACGCATCTGTACTTGAGGAGCGTGTACAACAATCAATTTGTTACTTAGTTCGCATGGTTGATTCTCAATGTGATCCCTTTCAGAAAAAATATTCTGAAATTGTTCACTCCCACTAACTAAGTCATTCTCAAGAAACTTGGCGTTTCTTGACTCCATGATTCTAGTGCTATGTGATGGACAATAAAATCTATACCCCTTGGATTTTTCTGCATATCCAACGAAATAACCACTATGAGTTCTAGGGTCAAGTTTCTTTTCTTGAGGGTTATAGATTCTTACTTCACATGGGCAGCCCCAAACGCGTATATGGTTCAAACTCGGTTTCCATCCTTTAAATAACTCAAAAGGAGTCTTAGAGACAGCCTTAGATGGAACCCGGTTTAATATATATGCGGCTGTTTTTAGTGCTTCAACCCACAAAAATTGAGGAAGTTTCACATTACTCCTCATGCTTCTCACCATGTCCATTAAAGTTCGGTTCCTTCTTTCAGCTACACCATTCTGGTCCGGAGAACCATGCATAGTGTATTGGGCAACGATCCCATTTTCTTGAAGAAACTTCGCAAATGGACCAGGTGCTTGTCCATTCTCTGTATATCTACCATAGTACTCTCCACCCCTATCCGACCTCACGATCTTAATTTGCTTATTACATTGTTTGTCTACTTCAACCTTAAAAATTTTAAAGGCATCTAACGCCTCATCTTTAGAACGAAGTAAGTAGAGATACATGTATCGTGAATAATCGTCTATAAAGGTGATAAAGTATCTCGGACTATTTGCGTCCATATCTGGACAACAAATATCTATATGTATGATTTCTAATAGGTTAGAACTCCTCTTGGCATCTTTCTTGTACTTGTTGGTTTGTTTACCCTTAATACAACCCACACAAGTATCAAAATCAGCAAAGTCTAGAGTACTAAGTACTCCTTCATCAACTAAACGTGTAATTCTCTTAATGGAGATATGCCCTAGTCTCCGATGCCACAACATAGAGTACTTCTCATTCACAACACACCGTTTGGAACCAGTTGTTACATGCATTGAATCATAAGCAACATCATTTTTCACATCAATTGAATAAAGACCATCAACTAAAGAACCAAAACCAATAGTTTTTGATTTATTTATTAAGGTAAAACTAGTACTTGAGAAATTGAAGCAAAATCCTAAAGGAGCTAGTCTCGAAATAGAAATTAAATTCTTCGAAAAATTAGGAACATAAAAGGTCTTTTCCAATCGTAAAATAAAATCGCTGCTTAAAACTAAATTGCATGTCCCAATGGCTTCAACATGTGAACTTATTCTTCCTCCTGAATAGATGCATTGTTCACTTGCCACTGGTTTCCTTAGGTTTTTCATACCCTGCAAGGTATTAGAAACATGGATTGTAGAACCCGAATCAATCCACCATGTGTTGTGATTAATATTAACCATATTAGATTCATAACACACAAAAGCTAATGGAGTACCTTTCTTTTCGAGCCAGCTCTTGAATTTAGAGAATTCTTTCTTCATGTGTCCCTTTTTCTTACAAAAGAAACACTTTGACTCTTTCTTAATGACTGCCTTTGGAGGGATGTTGCCTTTACCTTTGGCATGATCCTTCTTTTTCTTTTCATGGACAGTCAAGTTCACCCGCTCACCCTCTTCCATCATCAACCTCTCCTCCTCCTGAACACACATGGTCAGTAGCTCATTAATTGACCATTTTTCCTTATGTGTGTTGTAGGAGATCTTAAAAGGAGCATATTGGTGTGGAAGAGTGTAAAGGATGTAGTGAACCAGAAAAGCATCCGACATGGTTACCTCCAAAGCTTTCAACTGAGCCGCTATGTCCCCCATGCGCATGATTATGTGTTCACACACGCCTCTTATCCCAGTAAGCTTCATGGTTGAGAACTGTATGATTAAGGTGCTGGCAAGGGCCTTATCTGATGTAGCAAATTGCTCATCAATAGCCTTCAAAAGGTCCTTGACTTTAGTATGCTGATCGACAGAACCACGGATACCAGCAGATATTTTGGTCTATATGAACATTACAGAGAGACGGTTAGATCTCTCCCACTTTTCATAAAGATCAATTGCTTTTGGAGTGCTGGTTACCGTTATAGCCGGTGGTTCGTCTTTCCTTATAGCATAGTCAATGTCCATCCAGTCCAAATGAAGGAGAACACGCTCCTTCCAAACCTTATAGTTATCACCCCTTAATTCGGGAATGTCACATTTCATATCAGAAACATTCGCAGGTTGAACAACTGTAAAAATATAATATATACATGCTCATTATTAATATTTGAGGTAAAATGGAGTTCATGCTCTACCAATGCAAAACATGATTAGCTATAAGTCTAGTGACATAAAACTTACCTGTGGGCTAAAGTTTTACTCAATTAGACATATAAAGCAAACAATTTGATAAAACTATCAGATTATATTTCCATTCTCAATTCCTGTGGGTAGTTTGAGAAAAATAATCTAATATGTCATCCTAATTAATTATACTAATACAATGAAATTCCTGTGGGCAGATTTCAATATATTCATATAATTAATTACAAGTGATGCCTTAATGTGATTCACAAGCTTAATATACAATTTAATTAATCAAAGATGTTGTGGCTATTCTTTAATCAATTAAACTATATCTTAATTCCAGATTTACAGCCAAGTTCTATTGAACTAAAATGAATTAGCTATATTCTGGAGTATTACAAATCACTTCTAGCATTCTGATTCCTTTACAATTTTAAAAAACCAGATTGCAGCTACTTAATTAAGCCATGAAGTATACCACTTATACAGTCATACGTAACTCATACGTAATTAATAAAATGAACAAGCAAGTATACTAGTACAGGATCACTAAACCCAGGATTAAAATTTGAACTTTAAGTCTTTAACATGGGAATAGAATGTAAGCAATATTACTAGTGCATAAACAGTAAGTGCCGTAATGCACTTTATATTATGCAGCAGTCTAGAATGCACCTTCTTCTATTGTTCTAGTTCTTTCACAATTACAGAACAAAAATATTGCACTCCTGAGTCTTATCAATCACGAGCAACAAGATGCTATATCCAATATGAGTTCTACACAACTATTCAGGTCCGGCCAGGCCGGACCACTCCCCCCGTCCGGCCTCCTCCATTTGGGGGTCTTCTCGGTGGTATTTTTTGCTCAAATTTTTTGTGTAGGTTCCTCATCAAGTCTAGTTCATCCATACCAAATTTCAGCCAAAAATTCAATCGGGAAGGTCGTCAAATGATTTTTGCAAGTAAACTGGTCCGGAATATGTATTCTTCCCATCAAAGAACTCCAACGTGTGGCCGAATAATAGGGAGAAGTTACGGATCTTCTCTCGGCTTATTTTTGGGTGGGAATAATGGGTAATCCTTATCTAACAAATGGACCATTTCAGAAACGTTTTTCCCCTTAAATAAATGTTATCTATTTGCTGAATAATGAATATTTAAGATATGTTAAATATTCTGTAACTGATGGAAAAACCCAACAAGACAGGGACGTTACTCTTGAGATCGCGACGTAAGGATGTCCATGGATGAAAATCGAGTGACGTAAGAAAACAACAACCCTCTCCAAAGGTTGTTTTTTACTCTTATTGATGGTCATAACGTAACTAAGCATGAAAGGGAACTGCATATGCTGAAATGTGAACGATAGCTTTAAATCAGATGGAGTCAAGCTATGTTCAGAATATGAAATTGTTATCATGTGGTTGGTCCTGGCATCATCTGAGTATCGAGAATTTGTATTCTGAATGTAGTGACAATAAGGTGAGTGTCATTACAGAATCCAGAAGAATGATTGATATTCCTCATCCTCATTAGCATCACATGTGCACCACTTTCAGCTTTAGCTCATGACTTCGCAAAACATTGTACAACAAACGACATTTTCAATGTGAATTAATTAATAAATGAAATTTTTGCCACAAAGCATTCAGAATTCCATTCCGGAAAGACTGAGAGGTCTATCATTCCAAGTGGGAGGCCTGTATTTTCTTGAGTATGGCAAGCATAGTTTTTATTTTTACTTTCAAATATTTCTGCAGTATACGTATCACATTTATTGATTCATGATATCATTTTAAGTTGTTAAAATGCACAAGACTTTTAAACACTTTATCACATGTCTCATTTTTTAAGATTGAGTTGTTTTATTGCCTGGTCACTAATCTCACTATAACTATAAGACTTAGTGATACGGTGCTTCATTCACCCTCCCACCCCCTCTTCTTTTTCTTATGAGTTTTTCCTTCTTAGTACTCATTATTTAATTTGATTACTTTCAACTTACAAACAATTATGAGAACAAAAATAAAACGGAGTCACCCAACGGGCTCTTAATCTTAATTTTTCGTTTTTCGCACATACTAAAAAGAAACTATTATGTGAAAGATTAGGTTTACCTCTCTGTTGAATAACCATTAACCACATAATGTTCACTCTAAGACCGTTTTAACCCAAAAAAGATTTAAATAGGAAGGAATCCAGTTATACCGGGGAATGATTTGAAGACCATTCTCGATGTATAACATGAATGTTCCAAGCATGTTTTTACGGAGTAAATAATTGCACAAGCTAGCAATAAATGTTCATAGCATGTATATTAAAATGATAATTGCACAAGATAGGCGATAGCTAAACGATTTACATTCTTCATCACATTTATGCTACCTTCAGCTTGAGCTCATTAGTTAGAGCACACTACAACATATGGTTGTAATTATACAGGTTTTTTAAGAGATTTCTTTTTAGGCAAACAAAGGAGATTATCTTTTAGACCAACAAAGGCGTAGAACTTTAGTTCAATATACGGGGTAAGTGTTACGTATATTGAGTTCTTTCTCACCAAATTCTCTATGCCCCAATGTCTTGTTTAATATCAAGACCCCATTTGATAACACTACAACTCCAAGTTTTGAAAGTGTTCAACTTGTTTAAAAGTGTGTCTCAATGGCTAATTTGTTGAACTTCTGTAAGAGCCCATTTGGTAACACCGTAATTGACTGAATCGGCCCAATTTGCTGAAATTTATGAAATTCTAGCTAAAGTGTTTCAATTTACTTATCCTACCTAATTGTGAAAAAAATATTAAAAATATATTTATTTATTTTTTGAGAGGAAAAATATATTTAATATTAAAATCAAGAAAAAATTATACAGAGTATGAAAAAAGCTAAAATGGTCCTCTACAGTGATTGCAGCCAAATCAGCCATACAAATAATTTACTTATTTTGATTATTACACAATTCAACACACCCAAGCCAAAAGTTATGTGTGGTAAAAATTGAATGATAAGGCTAAAAAGAAAAAAAAAAGATAAAAAAACAGGGTCACCAAAGTGACCAAACAGGCTCTAAATTCTCAATGACCTGAATTTGCTGGATGTTTTTAGTTTGTTGAAAGTGTACTTGAAATGGCTAAATTGAATGTATCTCCTAAACTCAAAAATAATCACATTCTTTGTTCCCTCCAAACCTAACAAAATCAAATTTAGAATTGAGACCATATCAAGAACCTGTGTTACACTTACATATATCCTTGGAGAAACAATTATATTAGAGAATATCAGGATAATAACTATGGTTTCACACTAAAATTAATGGATAGAAAACATTAGCTGAAACTTGTGCAATATAAACTATAGTATAAACTTCGTTGCTTCACTGCGATAGGAAAGGATACTCAAGCCTCTTGGAGATAATATGTCTGATCTTGGGAGAGATTAGGATATTGGTTAGGTGCGAGATGAGAAGTTTGTGTGTTAGGGACAGTGAGTTGATAGTTCAGGCTGATGTGGGTGTCTTGATCGGGAGAGACTGAAATTCCATGTTTTGAAATTGATTTTTACAGTTAAATCTTGCTTCTGCATTCAGCGAACTCTAACAGGACCTGCTTGGCAAGTAGAATCTTTTTAACACATAACGTGTGCACCTTATTGAAAAATGGAATCATATAGCATTAAAGTCCCACCTTAGATTCAATATGCAAATGAAGTGGTACAAATGAAGTGGATTCCACGGGAAAATCCAGAAAATTTGAAAAAAAGTTTAAAAATGCTATTATATTGATAGTTGCCACAAGAACTAACCAAGCAGAAATGAAACAACATAAAAACTGCTACTCCGTATTATATTGACAGTTTTCACCCAAATAAATGGCATACTGCTTTGCAATAACCGGTATATCCAGAAAAATAAAATAAAGCTGCTATAATGTGGATAGATCTAATACGTAGAAAAAACTGTAACACCAATTCCAGATAGATATTCTCAAACGTAAACGGCATAGCTCCCGCATTGTTTAGATGCATCTAAGGTGGCAGACTTTTGTATAATAAATCACACAAAGTGAAAAATGACAAACAACTACAGATTTTAGATAGATCAATCCTCAAAGTTCAAGTATAAAAAACCACAATTGTATTGAACCTTCTTGCCTAGTAGTTGAGTAATTTCTGAGAGAGTTTCTTTTTTAAATTAATGCTCCATAAATTAGACTGATTAGTGTTGCTTTAAGCTCAAGGGAATCTGGAGTTGCTCCATGTGTTTATTACTCATGCCCCCTATATTTTTGTCAATTATATTTAAACTGCACAAGGAGTGCGGATACTCAACTTCTTCGTAGAGAAACCATAGAAATAAAAGGATGAAACTCTAGTGTTGTTTATGGATTGTATTATTGTTTCAAATTTGGTGTTTAATGGTTATCTGAAGGGGGCTTCTTATGCAAATGGAACATATATTAACGTTCTCCAGTTAAAATATAACAGGTGGTTCATTATTCAAAACGCCACACACTTACACTATATTTCTACTTCAAGATTAACATTAGAAAATGCTAAAGATCTGTACTCTTATCGTAATGCAAAAATCAAGTAAATTATGAATTTGTAAAGTGCAATAACAACAAAAATGATGGAAGATAAACGAATAAAAGACAAATACAAATAGAACTGAAAGCAATACTCACCACCTCCATTAGCCACCACCTTCAAGCAAACTTAGATGTTGCGTCAATTGACCAAAAATGAAGGATTAAAGCTCCTCTATGAAATGGATAGATGCCAGCCAATGTAAAAGATGAAGTTATCAAAAGTACTAATATAAAAAAAAAAGTGTTTTAAAATGAAACCACGTTATATTTTCAAGAACAGATGAGTTTTGCAAAATAAAAATACTATTAGGAGGTCAAATATTATGATCCGACTAAATTTGTAACTATAAAATTGAACTTCAGACCTGTATTCCCAAGTTAGGTCCAACTGATGTTCTGCTTTGTAATTTCCACTTCAAAGTCAATGGCCATGTCCTTACCCATCCTTCGTTACCTATCCTTTTCCGACTACTGAACTCCGTCCTAGCAGAAGATGACCAAGTTGGAAGGTTATTTCTAAACTTAGATGAAGTTGATCGGATTCTGAACTGATGAATTATTAGAATTCTATGGAAGAAGGAAATCAAGATGAAATCAAACTGAAATTAGGAAACCAAGATGAAACCTGGTATGAAATGCCTGCGCTCATTGCCAAACTCAATGGAGAAATTTGACTAAACTTAGATGAAGAAGGTCGAATTCTAAATTGATGAGTTTCTATGGCTGAACTGATGACTTTATAATTTCCAGTTGGAAATTATAGTCATTTAGCATATGCTTCATGAGGGTTGCTCTAATTTTATTTGACAGTTTTAATAAAAGGATGCCGAGTAATCAAGCAATTGAGAAATCTAAATTAGGAGTTCCAAACTGACCTAGTCATACATTTTTGCATAAGGACAAGAGTACGGTCAGAACTATCAGTGATATTGGCCGCGTTTGTATATCAGCGGATCCGCCAAAATTTAGAGGGTTTGACTGTGTTGGCGTTTTGGATGGGTCAAACCGCCGAAATTTCGCGTTTGGTAAGCAGAGGGTGAGGATAGCGATTCCTACGAATCCGCCGAAAACCAAAACGCTGGGAGTAGGAGCGATTAGGTTTCGGCGGATTGGAAAAAATACTGAATTCACGTGATTGCCCTCTCACATTCATCTTCCTATTTCTCTTTGCAGCCGCTTGAACTCCCTTGAAGTATTGTTCCTCTCCTCTGTAGTGCAAGACAGACAGTTCACACGGCTGCCCTCTCAAAGCTAAGGTACGTAATAACGTATTGTTCTCTCTCTGCTCTGACCAGTTCAATTTCTTAATCATTAAGCCCCCAACAGCTTAAATACATGATCGACAATGCTTTATCACATTGCTTATAATCTTGTGTATAATTGTCTGCTAGCTTGTTCTTCTACTCTAGTGTGTATAGTTCTCTGTCTTTTTAGTTGAAGTCTGGGTGTGAAACAAGTCTGGGTGTGTATAATGTTCGTGATAGCATTACTTCTAGTTTGATGGCATAGGGATTTTATTCTTAATATTACAAATATTGCAATTCACCGTATTACTTTTTTTTAAGAATTGTATTACATCTTAATATTGGTGTAGTTAATTGATGCATTTTTATTGTCATACTTTTATCTAGTTAATTTTAAAATAATTTACTCACATATATTATTTACATATAAATTAGTACAGTCATAACTTCATATCAAAGAAAACAAAAAAAACATGCAAAAAGTGTAAAATGTCTTTTTTTGTCTTTTTACATATTATCCGCTACAAGCAAACCGCTAAGTTACCAAACATCTTTCTGCAACCCGCCAAGCTAATCCGCTGGTCAAATCCGTTGATCCAATCCGCCATTTACTACCCGCTAACCAAATCCGCTAACCGCTAACCGCTGAGTGCCAAACAGGGCCATTCATTCTAATTTTGGATGGCCCATGCTCATGAGTAACCTATCTAATTTATCCCACAAGCCTCCTTTATTCTGAAAAGACTGACATTTTCCTAAGTTACTCAACATGAATAGGTTGTGAGACAATAGAGGCAATACCTAAATAAGTAAAATTCAAAATGGAAATAGAGAAGGTGTGAGACTACCTGTAATGGAACTCCGATGAAAGCTTCTGAACTATAATGAATTTTGAACTTGTAGAGATGAGAATGTGATTTCCCAAGTTCAGCTACTTTCCATGAATGTGTCAGAACTGACATGATTTCTGACGAAGGAGAGGGGTGAGAAAATAGGAGAAATTGGTTGACCGGAAAATACTAGGGGTACACAAGTTGAATTGTACACACAATGTCGGTCACAGACAATTGGTACGGAGTTGTCTGTGACCATAGACAAGAGTTGTCTGTGTACACAGACAAATTTGTCTGTTTCCATAGACATTTACTTTTTTGTAAAAAGTACTCCCTCCGTATCACATATATCTTCCCACTTCCAAAGTGGGTGAGATTAAGAATAGTGAAATGGGGTATGAATTATTGAGGGTATGATGGGAAAATAGTGAAATAATGTGATGGAATGAAGGATAAATCCAAAAAAAGTAGGTGTAGTAGTGTATTACTCCCTCCGTCCCGCTAACAATGGGACGGAAGGGAGTGGCACGCATACCAATACAAACTGATAAAGAAGTAATTAAAGAGAGCCATATTCAATTAAAGCAAATAAATTTAAGGGTAGTTGATTGCTTAATACGCCGTACTTCTAAAAGTAAAGGTCAAGTCATTCCAAAAGTAATTGTACTTCTACACAATGTTACAGACCCATGTGGCCATGTGCGGACCACAAAGAAAAATTAAATACACTTCTCCAAAGAGTTACAGACCCATGTGCGCACCAAAATGAAAAACTTAAATATTTGCCGCCACATTTGGCGGGCAAGCCCAAAAAGTTGAAATCTGCAGTCCGCCATTTCACTCAACCCTACTTTCTATAAATAAAAACCAGAGCATTCAATACTTACACCAACTTTGTCCTTACATATTAAAGGCAAAATGGCCAGCACAAACAAAAAAAAAAACTTGACAGATGATCAAAAGCAAGGCATTGCAGACATGCTTCGAGACAAAAGACATCAGTTGGGTGGTTCTTTGCACAAAGGCAGCATCAATGAGGCAGCAGCTGTTTATGGAGTAAGCAGAAAAACTATTAGTAGAATCTGGTCAACAGCAAGTAACCAAATCAGGTTAAAAACAGAAGTCAATGTAAAATCAAAGGTTCCAGGCAAAAAAGGGAGGCCGGTGAAGATTATTTACAACACAACAGTCACTGAAGTTCCCCTAGAACTAAGGACAAACATAAGGAGGCTTGCAAAAGCTCTAAAACTAGGAAAGTCAACTGTTCACCGGGCCATCAAAAGAGGGCAACTCAGAAGCCACAGCAGTGCTATAAAGCCCTATCTAACTGAAGAAAACAAAAAGAAAAGGTTGATGTTTGTGTTGTCTCAAATTCAGCCTACACTTTATACGCAAGATCCAAAGTTTATTGATCATCATAACTACATTCATATTGATGAAAAATGGTTTTTTTTTTGACAAAATCAAGTCAAAAATATTATCTGACCCATGAAGAGATGGATCCACACAGAACTTGCAAATCAAAAAGCTTCATCACAAAGATAATGTTTATGGCTGCAGTTGCAAGGCCCATATTTGGTTCAAATGGTGAACTATTATTTGATGGCAAGATAGGTATATTTCCTTTCACAACAAAAGAGGCAGCAAAGAGAGGCAGTAAAAATAGGCCTAAGGGAACTCTAGAGACCAAGGCAGTCACTTCCATCACCAAAGAAGTCACAAGAGATTGCCTACTTTACAAGATTCTACCTGCAATCAAAGAGAAATGGCCCAAAGGTGCAAGTAAGACCATTTTTATTCAACAAGATAATGCTAAACCTCACATTAATCCGGAAGATCCAGAATTTGTGAATGCTGCCACCAGTGATGGGTGGGACATTCATCTCTTATTCCAGCCTCCTAACAGTCCAGATTTAAATATTTTAGATTTGGGTTTTTTTAGGTCTATTCAATCACTACAACAAGAATTTAAAATGAAAACAGTGGATGACCTAATTAGTGCTGTGGAAAAAGCATTTCAAAACCTAGAAGCTGAAAAGCTTAATGATGTTTGGATTACCCTACAATATTGCATGATTGAAATCATGAAGGTTGAAGGTTGTAACAAGTATCGGTTGCCACACATTGGAAAAGCAAAGCAAAGGAGGCAAGGGGAATTGATGCAAGAAGCCACTGTTACACAACAACTAATCCATGAAGTTGTAAACTACCTCAACCAGGCTATGATCACTGAAGGAGAGGACACATAGGATATCAACTAGCTTTATGAGCTATGACGGAGTTGTTTAAGCATAAACTGCCTTTTTTTTGACATTTTGAGGTTGTTTAATCTTAAACAACATGCTTTTTTGTCTACCAATGCTTAAGATGTAATTCTCTTAAACTATTCAGGTGGTATGAATATAAGTTTATATTAAGCTTTTAAATAGTTTTACATATTTCCAGAAAATTCTATTAAACCACACTCCCAGAAAGCAAAATTCCTAAGGGACAGAATGCTAAAAAAATCTGATATTCTTGGGGGATATCTAAAATACTTAACGTAAAAACATGGAATAGATATATAAAGAAAAAAATTAAAAAAACTGATATCTTGATTTAAACCTCAAAGCATTAGAAGTCAAGAGAAATTAGGGGTTTTTTGGGTACCTTTATTAGGTTGGGGTAATATGAACTTGGCTATGAATTCTTCCGTCCTTTTCTGGCTTTCTGGACTGCAACGGGGATAACAAGAGCTTGGAATGAAACTTTGGTTTCCTGCTACAGCTCGAACGGTAGCGCAAGGGTCATCTGATTTGCTTTCATCTTCTTCAACCTCGGAATCAGACACATAATCAAGATGACATTCGCTATCTTCAACGATCAATTCTTCAATTTTAACAGGGATTTTTGGGGTACCTATCTTTTGGGGTAATATGTACGTCACTATAAATTCATCAAGCTGCTTTTGCATTTCTGGACTCCAATAGAGATGAGATGAGATCGGAATCCCTTCTACAGCTCGAACACCAGCCCAGGACTCAGCATCTGATTTGATTTCATCCTCTTCAACCTCGGAATCGGACACATAACCCAGAGGGTCGTCTCTGTCGAACGACATCTGATTACAACGATATATAGTTCCAAAAGGTTGAATCGCCAACCCCAAGCGCCCCCACGCCCCGACCGGACAGAGCACAGTGGCAGTAGGCCTTTACCCCGTGCGCACCAGAGGCCCAGCCTTATTTCAGGTTCTGTGACCTCCACCCGGTCGCTGCGGGGATTCGAACCTTGGTTATAGTTCCAATTTTCCCACCACTCGACCAGCTGAGCTACCCGTGCGGGTGATTACACCGATATATGGGATTATGGTTAGGAAGAAAGTGGAAAACCTATGAACAAATTAATCGGAGCAGATTTGTGAGTTCTTGAAGATGAATAAGGGTCTGTTTGCAACCGCTTCTGCTTTTAAAAAAGTGCTTTTTTTAATGAAATGAGGAGAAGTGATTAAATAAAAGTTGTTAGTGTTTGAGAAAAAAGTGATTTTGAAAAGTAAAAGTGGGTAGTGTTTGGTAAAATAAGTGCTTTTTGTGTAATAGAAAAAGTAAAAACACTTTTGACGCGGAAGCCGAGAAAAATAAAAGTTGTAGTGTTTGAGAAAATAAATGCTTTTTTAAAGCCAAAAGCTGAGAAGTGCTTTTTTAAAAGCAGTTGCAAACCAACCCTAAACTACGGAGAAAATACATCGTAAATGGAAAAGTAAAGTGTGTAATGGGAAGAGGTGGGTGGATGTAATCTGACGTGATGGATAATGGGAAGAGGTGAGGTGTAATGGGAAAATGTAATGGGTAGGTAGGATTAATTAATGTCAAAATAATTAAGGTAAGTAATTAACATAAAGTAAACATGTCATTTCAAAAGTTAAAGTAGAGATAAAGTAGGAAAAAGTTTCCAAATATAGTATGGGACAATCATAGTGGGACGGTCCAAAATGGTAAAACGGGACTATCATAGCGGGACGGAGGGAGTATTTTTTAAATTATTGAGGGTATGATGGGAAGATTTAGAAATGGGAAGATATAAATGTTACGTCCAAAAAAGAAAAGTGGGAAGATATGAATGTTACGGAGGGAGTACTTGTCAGTGTCAGGCGGCTCTCAGTGTACTTTTTACAATAAAGTAAATGTCTGTGAAAACAGACAAAATTTGTCTGTGTACACAGACAACTCTTGTCTGTGGTCACAGACAACTCCGTACTAATTGTCTATGACCGACATTGTGTGTACAAGTTGTGTACAACTTGTGTACCCCTAGTATTTTCCTTGGTTGACCAAAACCTATACAAAAGGAGACTCAACAAACTGAGCATTGGCAGATTTCTAAGATAAATTTGTTAATTTGTCTTTGTCAAACTTTACACATATAATATACTTAAAACACCTCATCATCCCAAAACAGTAAGAGTATAGTTTTTACTACTAATTACAAAAACTCTTAAGCTGTCCCCAGTGAACTTCCAGATTTTCTAAAACTCTCTTAAGATTAAAAAAAAACTCGGGATAGGTTTGAGAAGTCATACATGTAAGTATCAATTAAAAATGAGCCACAAAGGCTGCTACCACATGCAGTAATAAAAGACACATAAATGAGATACCATGTAAAAGGCATATACATCAAAATTCCCATATTACAATCAACTTTCAAATCTTCTGCCAAACTTAAAATAAACTTATAAATCTTCTTACCAATGGAATAGCATAGTGTTAAAGGATATATATATGAAATAAACCAATTAAAGACTAAAATTCTTAACAACTCAGAGTTACAGTTAAACCTTAAATCCCATGCTATTAGACCAACTTTTTAATATTACCCAAAATAAAAGCTTGCACTTGCAATGAGTACATTGATACATGCGGGCTTTGCAGATTATTCCCTAATTTCTTTGCTAATCTGTCCAGGGAAGTTTGAAGGTAGTTTATTCGTAGCTAACCCGAGAGAGTCGTGTTTGACAATGACCTACAAAAGTTGTTTGGCGGAATTTGATGAAGCATGGAGCTCCTTAAAGTAAAATTTTAAGCTTTACTATGTTCCTAAATGTAAGGTGTTAGAGACAGTTTCTTAATCTATTGTTGGAAACACGTTTCTTAATTTATTTTTGGAAACGCATCCTAATTTAATTAGGGGTTATGTTGCTTTGGGAACAAGACACTACATCTCTATAAATACCACTCTCCTCTCTTGTAATCTGCATCCAAAAAATATTAATAACATTCCTGGCTTGGTAGCGCCCCCAGACGTAGTCCTCTGTGACGAACTGGGTTACCAAATTTCGTGTGTTCTTTAATTATTGCTATAAGTGTTGTGTGAGTTAAATTCCTAACAACTGGTATCAGAGCCCTAGGTTCGAAGGGAGAGTTCAACACAATGGCAGATTTGAAGACACCGTTGATGCAGTTTGATGGGACTGATTTCGGCTTCTAGAAGCTGCAGATCGAAGATTACCTGTACGGTAAAGATCTGTATCAACCTCTGGAGGATAAGCCGGAAGACATGAAGGAGAGCGATTGGAAGTTGCTGGACAGGAAAGCGATGAGCGTTGTGCGATTCTCGCTGTCCAGAAACATCGCCCTACATACCGTCAAAGCAAAAACAACGAAGGAGATGTTGCAAATATTAACAGATATGTATGAGAAACCTTCTGCTGCGAACAAGGTACATCTCATGAGGCGTCTTTTTAACCAAAAGATGTCAGAAACCACAGGAGTTGTGGAGCATCTCAACGAGTTCAATTTAATTACCACACAATTGAGCGCGGTAGAGATCAAGTTCGACGACGAAATTCATGCCCTAATTCTGATGTCTTCTCTCCCGGAAAGTTGGAACGGAACGGTGACTGCAGTCAGCGCTTCAGGATGGAAGGAGAAACTGAAATTCGATGAAGTCAGAAATCTGGTGGTCAGCGAAGAAATTCGCAGGAAGGAATCAGGCCTGGTTTCTGGATCGGCGTTGAGTACAGAGAACCGGGGCAGAACGAAGTCGAAGTCAAAGTCAAATCGGGATAAATCAAGATCCAAATCCAAGTCAAACAGTAAGGCAAGAAGGACAGAAGTCAGATCAAGTGCTGGAATTGTGAAGAGTACGGACACTTCAAAAGCCAGTGCAAGGAGCAGATCAAGGATCAGAAGGAGAAGACATCCGCCAATGCAGCGTCAGAATCATCGGGGGATGATCTCCTGATCCTGAGCAGTCCGTTGGAGTCACGAGTTCTGGATTCGGGAGCCTCGTTCCACTCATGTGGTAATTCTGATGTGATGGAACAGTATACGCCCGGCAATTTTGGAGAGGTGTATATTGCTGATGATGAACCTCTTAAAATTGTCGGGAAGGAGACAGTCCACATGAAGACTCCGAACGGATGCATGCTGAAACTTAATGGTGTTCGTCACATTCCTGGTTTGAGACGAAATCTTCTTTCAATTGGGCAGTTGGATGAGGAAGGTTACTCATAGAATGAATTGAAAAGTAACTGGAGAGCAGGGGAAAAGGATTTTGCATACGTTGACGACACTCTTTATCCAGCTCAATGACCTCGTCTACTACATCGACATTATCAAATCGCCGTCGTTGAGATTCCCGGATAACTTATGGGTTGAAGCCTTTGTCTTCTCGGAATAGATTTATGTCAAGCATTCTGCTTCTTATTCCTTGTTCTGCAATCTATACAAAATTAAAAATTGAAAGGCTATGTTTGGCACAACAAGCTGGAACTGGAGGCTAATGTTTGAAATATGGTCTATTGTCTGAAACCATGGTCGGTCCTAGGGGGAGGGCAGCAGGGGCGACCGCCCCAGGCCCGAAAAAAAGTATAAAGAAAATTAGGCCCAAGTTTTTTTTGCTTTATATATAATCTGAGTAGGCTTCTTTTTTATTTATAACTTCAATTAATTAATTAGGTCCAATGTGTAATTTTGTTGATCATTTGAGAATTTTAGAACATAACTAAAAAGTCTTGAATGGAGCTAGACAAGTTTTAAAAAAGAATATAAATTTAGTTTTGATTTTTAATTAAAGTTGGTTGTAAGTCAACACATTTGTTATTGAATCAATAAAAATATGTCTCTTCACATCTTTTTAGCCTTTAAGATTTTTTATTCTTTTAATTACAAAATTACCAATTTATATTATTGTTTGTGGGCTGCCGGTGCCTCCCAATTCTCAATCATCATCCCAATTATCCATTATGCCTCAAAAAACTTAATTGATTAGCAATTTTAAACATTGCACATAAAATCTTTGGAAAAGATTGATTGTAAAGAAATTATTGATGATTTTACTTCACAATGTTCTTTTGTGATACTTGTTACTTTTGTCCAAATATAAAATTCAAATAATATGAATGTGAATTTCATCTTTATTTTATAATCTTTATTAGATAGTTGTAGGGAGAATTCCTGAAATAGGAGTATCTTTTTAGAATTTCAAAATAGGATTGCCATTTGTTTATTTTCTGAATATGAATATACAAACGTTTTTTTATATCACATTTAGAGTAATTTTTCACAGTTTTATTATACTCCGTAATTTTTACTTTAAGTAAGTATAGTTTACTGTTTATCTTGGAAATAAGGCCAAAATAGTCTATCGCCCATAGGCCCAAAACTTAATAGAACCGGCCTTGTCTGAAACAGAGACTATTGTCTGGAACTGAACTTCAAAGTGCTGAATCTGAATTACTAGCTGAATGGAGTAAACCCATTTTGCAAAAAGAGCTGAAAAAGTGCAGGGATAATATGAAATTACATTAAAGGACATATCATTTATTAAAAGAATAAAATATATTTATTATAATGATTTTTATATTTTCAGCCTTTATTAATATAAAATAATATAATATAATATTACCTAAATTTTGAATTGCTAAATTGAAATGTTACATAAGGCACATACTTCTATTAAAGAAAATTATATTTTAAGATAAAACTCATTTTCAGGCACTATGTTCACTCAATAAAATATAACTACACCATTCAACCATACGTGTAATTTGTAGGAGGAAATTAAAATTAAATAAACTGATTGTGGAATATGACTACACCATTCACCACCAATAACACATGTTATTACTTAATTATTACTCCGTCCTACGTATACATCCACA